CAGCCCATCCTTAGTCCCAACCCATATAGTTTCCCATACCAACAATCCTTCTCCTCCACCTAAGTTTCTCCTCTTCCTCAAACTGTAACTTTGCAAATATGCTATATCTTCCTGTCCCCTGTGAAATTTCTTCATTTTTATCAATATTTATCATTTATATATATGCTGAATACTGCTCTTTTTTCAATGAGCTCTAAACTCCATGATAGATATATCCCAGCACCATTTGAGTTTGGGATTCTCCTTACCAATATGTATCTTCTTACAAGGATACTTTAACATAAACAACATTTTTTATTTGCATCCAATAGCTGTTTCAGTTCATTTCATCCTGACACAGTTCAAAACATTAGTCATTGATTTAAGCCGATAGTACAGCTTAATCAGCGTTTTCTATTCATCATTACATTATCTCAAGTTAATTGTTTACAATTAGCATGACAGAGTTTAATCCTATTACTTCAGACTCTTTTTTGTACACTTAACAGCACATCTTTTAGAGAAGCCTTACAGAAACAAGGGTTTATGGTTTAATTTGTCTTAAATAGAAAGACTGTGCAGTACTTAGCCTTTGTAAAGACTTGAAACAATTTCATTATGTGACTTCAGTCTGTGAATAAAATGTGAAGTCTAATTAAAGCTATTTAAGATGACAACTTTCTTCAGGGAATCAAAGATGTAATGCCAAGGTCTGCATTACCAGCCCCATCTGTCTTACCTGTGTTCACAGAGAATATTGCTGCTTGTTCAACTCTCATTTTATTTCATGAAAACAATCCAATAGTAAGTCAGTAACCACACAGAAACCATTTGTCTTTATCCATGTTATCCTCGGTGTATCTCATTTGTGTTATTCGGTGTTTTTGTTTCACTGGTTTTTACACTCTGTGCGACTATATAGTCCGGCTGCTTTATTCTCCTGAGAAGCTAAGATCTTTTGTGCTCAGCCATTCATCTAATGCTGCCACCATCTCTAGGCTAAGGAGAGGGCTTGCTGGCTTGGGTCACTCCTCCCCATAGAGAGAAGGGCTGCTAGAAATGGGGATGAGAGAATTGTTCTGCACTACCTGGAAGTTCACTCTTTAACTAAGCTTTGGGGCACCATCACTGGTACATCTTTTACAAGGGGAAAGATGCTAATGAGATTAAGCCAGATTCCATACCCAGTTACAATGGCATAAATTGTAAATAATTCTGAGGAGTTCCTCCAGTTTCACAGGAATCTTAACTAAAAACAGAATGTACCCTATTGTCCCTTTTGTGACCCATGCATTTATAAAAAGCAGGCACACCAAAGCCACTGATCTCAGACTGTTACACCCAAATTTAAGTAAAGGTGGCAGTTGACTCTGTGCTTGTGGGTAAGATGCCTTCAAGCTATGGCAGCTAACAAAGGCTTGCAGGATTTCATCATAGTACAGTCAAATTGGCTGACATTTGATTGTTTTTATACTATTAGATATGACACAGCATTGTCCAGTTTTCTCAGCTCTGAGTGTGGTTATGGCCAGAGAAGTGACTCTATATAATGACGTGCTGGTACTTTACATGTATCACCTATTTCAGTGGATGTTTTACTGTTGCTCAGTTTGCAAGTTAGTACTATTTATTATTTATGTATCAAAAAGACTGCACCAGGCACTTGTCAGAGAATAATCTGAGAAGGTCCCTTCCCTGAAGAGATTGGTGTGTGTGTGTGTTGAAAGGTGGTTGAGCATGGGAGTAATGTAAGTGGTGTGGAGGGATGGAGGTTGACTGAGAGAGTGAGTGAAATGACGGTTTTTTGGCACTTATTTTGAATGTAATTGGGGGGGGTGAGAGAGAGACAGAAATGACTGGAGACTAAGCATGAGTGTGGGCATGTCTAGGAGACTGAATCATGACAGAGATGATGGCATGTGTGGCAGTAATAAGGGAGAGGGGGGTGGTAAGCCTTGGAGTTGTTGGGGTCATAAGTGGCTTGAATAGTATGAACCTTAGTGTGAATCTCCACAATCTGAGCAGGGAAAATCATTCCTGCGTAGTATTGGCTTCTCTGCTCTCTCCTCCCTTAAAACACATCACTGCACACAGCTGTCTTCTCAGGCAGGAGTGCAGATGCATTAATTTACTACTACTTGAAGCAGAACTCTAGTGAAGGTAACTGTTCAGCTATCATCTGCTTTGGGAGTAGGAAATGTTGCAGAGAAAGGGTTTGCACATTCAAGTCCAAGGGAACCTCCTCTTAAAAATGCCAACAAGTCCAATTTCCATGAAGAAGTGTAACACAAAGCCTTTTCTACCCTTAAAAGGGATGCAGTCTAGAGTGCTTGCTCTGTGATATGTTCCATCTTCTTTTGCCCTGCAAAAGTCCCTCTGCAAATACTCATAAGGGTTAATTCTGCTTCTCTCTTGATTTCTTTCTAGGATTAAGGAAGGATCTTGTCCCTTATATATGATATAAAATATCAAAATTTTGACCAGTATATTTTTTGTTTATGTTTTGGTTCTTTAGCAGTAGAATTAGCATCAAATTCAAGGAGTACTAGTGCAATTTTTCATGAAGATTTAGCAGTATTCCCTCTTGCAGATAATCTTCAGGGTGAGGTGTGTACAGTGGCTCCAGAGGCCAACCCTCCCAGAAGATCATTTTACAAACATAATATTGCTGCTGCTGTTGTTTTTTAATTTTCAAACTTTCATTTATAACAACATGCTTCAAAGTGTGATACCAGACAGTATAATGAAATTCTAATTTATTCAGAAAATGTTTTTACCAGCCTGATTCAGTTTCTTCATTAATAATACCCAGTAGGTAGAGATTTCTCGTTTTGGCCTCATGCTTCTTCTCATCTCCTTTGTAAAGATGTGTTTTATTATCTTGCTAAGGGAAGAAAATGTGGCATTGTGCCCAGCAGATGTATTTTCTAAATCATTAACTCAGATTTCCACATTCAAGGAAATGTGAAAACATTTCTAATCCGTAAGAGAGAGCCTTTTAAACCCTAAGTCCTATCCTCCCAAATGGAATTGATGCTTTTCAAGCGTGCACACAGTATAGACTTATTCGATAAAAATACCCAGGAGTCACGTGGTGTGGCCTTCAAGACACACGACTTTTAAAAATGTCTGTGATGAAGTAAGACTAAGCATCAAGTAATGACTTCTTATCCTGGAAATAACCAAGAGCAGGCCACAAACAAAATTACCAAGGACACGGGAAAGAGAAGGGAATCACTTTTGTGAAAGAAAAACTGCTAGCCAGAAGGTGCAATTATAAAAAGAATTCATGGGTACTGGAAAATAATAGCCCATGAGTGAGTCTTACATCTGCATTTAGGGTAGGCATCATCAGAATAAGCACAAGTTAGGGGAGAAATCTCCCCTATTCCTTCCTACCTCTACATCCATTTTTTGTGAGTAAGCACTCGCCAACGCCCAAACCCACTTTGATTCCTCCTCCCCGTAGCCTCCAGCCCCGGGCCACCTGACAGACCCGAGTCCCAGTGCAGCAGGCAGAGGGTACGCCTAGGCTGACTCAAAAGAACATGGCTGTATTTCCGTACAGCAGCTTAGAGCCCTCCACCATATTAGATTAAAATTTAATTTTTATTCAGCCTTGTGATGGTCCTTATTTCGTATTGATATGTTATAGGACAGTGGTGGGCAATATCCGGCCTGCAGGCTGAACACAGTTCACCAGGGTTAATCCAGGGTGGCCACCAGCACTTTATTTACCTGTGGAGCACTGGTATGGCTGCTTGAAGCTCCCATTCACCATGGACTGCCATTCCTGGCCAATGGCAGCTGCAGGATGTGGCGCAGACTGGGACACTGCTTCCCGCAGCACCTATTTGCTGGCCATCAGCCAGGAACAATGATCCACAGCCAATGGGAGCTTCAAGCAGCCATATGTGCATAGGCAGAGGTAAATAAAGCATTGATGGCCCAGCAGGGGCTAATCCTGGCAAACTGCCTCCGTCTTATTGCCCACCCCTGTTATAGGAGGCTTCAAGAATTTTTGCATTTGGTTTTCATATTTTTTTCTCCTAAAAGAAGACCAATACGTATCTACTGCAATCCAGCTACAGGGAAAAGTACATAGAGCAGTCGTAGTCTGAAACCAAGAGCAACTTTCATAATTAAAAAAAAAAGTAAAGAATGAAACCATGGAGGCTTATAATTTTCCTTTGAGTGAAGAAATCTTGTCTTCCTTCCAGGAAGGGTAAATAAGAGCTGAAATCCAACAAAACCACTTCTATACCCTTTGGAAGAAATGGAGCAGCATGCCACAATGGGTCTTTTCCTGACAATGTGGAAGGGAATTTCTGGCCAGTCCATCATGACCACTCAATCAACAAACTGCATGTGGTCACTAACAAAAAAATTACCATATAGGCCATGAAGAACAACAGATCACATTTATTACTTCGGTTAATGTGATTATTGTAGAGCATTCTGCCCTTACAAGCCCCAAAAGTCATGCATGCACAGTACGTCCATTTGAGCTTTGTGCAGCTGCTGATGATTTTCTCCTAAATGTAGTCTATTTTTACAGTAGTTTTGGTGCTTGTTCTATCTTTCACAAATTAAATTTTGTAGGCTAATAATATAAAGTGATAGGTTGTATTGGAGGAAATAAGGAGACAAGAGATACCTGGAGTTTGAGATCCCGTTTGTCTCTTTTGACATATTTTGTTGACTGATTGATCAGCACTTTAGCAGAAAGATACACAAAAGTATGCAGAATAAATACAAGAATATTTGTAGTTGAGTTGGCTTCTTTAATCTAAGCAAAAAAAAGGGCATCTTCCACATAACTTTGATGCCAAGGCAAGAATCTGCTCTTAGCTAAACACTTCTTCCATGCAACTTGACATCACAGCATTATTTATCAAATATTGAATGTACTCATTAAAGTATATGGTGAGACCCATGCTCACCTTTACAACAGAATGTCCCAGCAGTAGTGTCTGACATGATGTGACTTTGCTAATGCATTAATTATTCCTGCTTTGTAGGCATACCTGGAAGTGACTATGTCAATGCCAACTACATAGATGGATACAGAAAGCAGAATGCTTACATTGCAACTCAAGGGGCTCTCCCAGAAACCTTTGGAGATTTCTGGAGAATGATGTGGGAGCAACGGGGTGCAACTGTGGTCATGATGACAAAACTGGAGGAGAGGTCCAGGGTAAGAAAGAACTTTATTGCTTTTGTAGACTTATCCATTTAAATCAAATAATAATGTATATCTGTTTTATCATTTATATAAGTTTTTCATTCAAATTTGTCTCTGAGTTTTTGCCCTCTTTTTGTATCTGAAATATTTGAGATTAATAGGTAATAACAGAATCTATATTATTAAACGATCTATGTCATAAACTTCAGTTCCAAATGTGGAGCTGTACAGCCAGGCTCATTTTTTCTTAATCTATGTGTGAATGATTAGGTAACTTAAGATCCCATAATCTTTAATGGGTTTTCTAGCCATTTCAACTGTTAAGTCCATACTAAATAGCAGTGTTGGTTTGGTGCAACTTAATATTTTCCAATAGACCGTTTTCACTTAGAATTCTAATTATGACTATTGCCAGGGTGGCCAAAATATGTCAGGCATTGTTCAAACACATAGGAAGACGTCATCTTTTTTGTAATAAAGAGCTGATGAATATTTTGTATTCCCTGCACAAGATGAGAAAATATTGGCTGACCTGTTATTTGGCAAAGTTTTATTCTCATTAAAACAAACTTCAAGCTGCATTAATGACTCCCAGCCAGAACAATGTCAATTTGGCATGTGATAAGTAGTAGTCAACTTTTCCAAGAAGAACCAAATAGGCCTTTTGCCCAGAGAGGAAGTTGGCCCTAACTAAGTGTGAAAGGAACTATTTCTTGACTTCCTACCATTTATTAAAATAGTGTATGCACTTCTGCACTTTCTTTTGAACATTGTGAAACAGTATATTTGTGTCAGACGTCTAGCCCAGTTTGGTGCAGGCTTGGATAAGATTCAGATAAGAATCCAAATGTTGACTGCTTATCCGAACAAAGCTTCTCTACTTCTTGAGAATTATTGATCATTAGAAGCAAGAATAGGGAGTTGGAAGTATCACTTCCTGTACTAGAACAAGAATACAGCTATATCATCTTTTCACAAGGAAGTCATATCAGTATCACTCGACTTTTGGACTTAACAATTTTAGTTAAGTTTTGGACCCAAAGTCTGAGTTAAGATCAATGAGTACTCAGCTGTGGACAGAAGTATAATTAGGCTGTTATATTTGCACATAGAACTGCTAAAAGGAAACATCTTATAATATGTTCCAAAAATAGAAGACATGTGGCATTTCAACTATGAAGTCTTCACCAGGAATAATTTGTAAAGGTCAAAGTAAAATTAGGGAAGCTGGGGAAGGAATGAAGGGTATGTATGTGATTAGAAAGGAAACAATGGAGTGGATGGATATAAAGCAAATTAACATGACTGTTAAGTTAAAAATAAGAATTTTTTTTTAATTGTGAAAAGAAAGGAAGTGGTCCAGCAGGGTAGAAATAAGCCATTCTGGTCAAAATGTATCTAGGGGTACGTCTAAACTACATTTCTTTTTTCGAAAGAGGATATGCAAATTCCATGGGAATTTGCATGTCTTCTTCCAAACGCTTTTTCAAAAGCAGGTCTTTCGAAAGTGAAAGTAGCCTGGACACAGTTTTTTCAGGGAAAAAAAACTTTTTTGAAAAACTGAGTAAACCTCCTTTTTTTAGGAAGAGC